CTTTAGTGGCTGGTGTGTTTTCCCTCTTGGCCCATTAGGCCCATATAGCTTTGCCGGGGGTTGCCCGGAACCCCTTCCGGTGACCCGATACGTACTCAGTACCATCAAAACACTTCTGATGTCTGAATACTATTGTCCTATATATGAATCTTTACCTCTCGACCATTTCAAGACTCCTCGTCATGTCCGTGAAATCATCCGGGACTCCGAACAACATCCGGTCACCAAATCACATAACTCATATAATACAAAATTGTCATCGAATGTTAAGCGTGCGGACCCTACGGGTTCGAGAACTATGTAGACATGACCGAGACACCTCTCCGGTCAATAACCAATAGAGAAACCTGGATGCTCATATTGGTTCCTACATATTCTATGAAGATCTTTATCGGTCAAACCGTAATGACAACATACGTTATTCCCTTTGTCATCGGTATGTTACTTGCTCGAGATTCGATCGTCGGTATCTTCATACCTAGTTCAATCTTGTTACCGGCAAGTCTCTTTACTCGTTCCGTAATGCATCATCCCGCAATTAACTCATTAGTCACATTGCTTGCAAAGCTTATCATGATGTGCATTACCAAGATGGCCCAAAGATACCTCATTGATACTCGGAGTGACAAACCCTAATCTCGATCTATGTCAACCCAATAAACACCTTCGGAGACACCTATAGAGCATCTTTATAATCACCAAGTTATGTTGTGACGTTTGATAGCACACAAGGTGTTCCTACGGTATTCGGGAGTTGCATAATCTCACAGTCAAAGGAATATGTATAAGTCATGAAGAGAGCAATAACAATAAAACTTAATGATCATTATGCTAAGCTAATGGATGGGTCTTGTCCATCAAATCATTCTTCTAATGATGTGACCCCATTCATCAAATCACAAACACATATCTATGGTTAGGAAACTTAACCATCTTTGATTAACGAGCTAGTCTAGTAGAGCCAGGCTTACTAGGGACACTGTGTTTTGTCTATGTATCCACACATGTATCAATTTTCCGGTTAATACAATTCTAGCATGAATAATAAACATTTATCATGATATAAGGAAATATAAATAACAATTTTATTATTGGCTCTAGGGCATATTTCCTTCACACCTCAACATGATCATGGGAATGATGTTTCAATGCCAACATTCGGTGTCACTTTGTTAGCCTCATCTTAAATATTCATGTTAGTGAGCCACAAGTTAATCTGCTCTCTAATGCTCTTTCCCCGTCATGTGACCTGATTGTCGATTGTTGACATTAGCTTGTTCAACTAATTTATGTTCTGCTACCTTCTTTTCCATCGCCCGTCGGTCACTAGCTTGCACGTTAACTAATGAGCATGTGTTGCTGATTGTACCCTAGCGCCTCCTTTATCTTACCAGGTTGTTTAAGAAAGAAAAAAATAGGTTATTTGTCGTAGCTACCATCTGTGAGATTTTTTTGATATAGCTATCATGTTTTAGAAAATGTAATTATCATGCTCTTCGATGTAGTCCCTTGCATATTCCTTTTGATACACTTATCAAAATTTATGATAGCAACTAACTGTTGAGTAAATAGGTATTTTTTCGACTAATTTAATCCATAGATAAATCACTAGCATGGCATTGACTGAATTTATGACACATTGATACTGATCTAAACAAGCACGTACTATGCAAACAGTAGACACATCTACACATACTGGTAGTACTGCTAATACAAAAATAAATAGGAGCAGGATAAACGTGTTATACCACAGAAGTCATGGCGGCGGTGGCGGCAGCAGCATCCTCGGCGGCCTTCTTGTCGGCCTCGAGCTTCTCGGTGGCGAGACGGTTGGCGTCGGACTACGACATGGTGATGATGAAGACGACGCGGAAGTAGCGGATCGGAGGCGAGTAGTAGCGTAGTCGTTGCCCAAAAACCTATTCGCCCCTCTCCCGTACAAGATCCGGAGAGGCGGGGTTTTGGAGACCTGTTCCCCCGTCGACCGTGTACGCGGCAGACGTGATGGAGTCACCGGCGGCAGCAACAAAGGAACGACGATGGGCGTGCGCGTGTAGCAGATGTGATCTGTTCGTGGCGACTAGGGTTAGAAGACACTTCACACTTATATTATAGACGCAGCCGCGTGGAGAGACGTGGGCTCGACCCACGTCCGAGTCCGTGACAGCCTACGATCCGACGTCTCAGATCATGGCCCAGTTGTCAGAAAAACTCTTCGTTACTGACTGACAAAAATAAATGCGTAGGTGTGAGCTCGGCTCAGCTCATTCCCGCGTGCCGCGCCGCGCTGTTGCGAGGCGGCGGCAACGGAGGAGGAGTGCGCGGGGGCCTCTTCTCTTTTCAAGCTCCAATAACATGTAGAAGAGAAACCCTTATAAAAAGGTCCAACTCTTTCTCCACTAGCGGGATGGGACTAAACTTCCCACTCTAGTGCAATATAATCCACATGAATCCTTAGAGATTTTTAAAAATTGCTAGATGGGCCTAAAGCCCATCCTATATTTCAGCACTAACATGTACGAATGCATGCTCAACATATAAACAAATAATATAAATAATGGGGTTGTCAATTGATTCATCATCAAACTTATCTTCAATTTGATAAACTTGTTTAATGACAATTGTTTTTTACATCGCAGCGTGTAACACACGTCATATGTGCTAGTTTCTTTTTGAGAATCGACATATGTGCGAAATCACTAGTTGAGAAGTGCTCGTTGCAAAGATCATTCCAACTCCCCAGGTTGCGACAAGTGGTACACATGCAGCACGCCACTTGTCGCAACTTGGGGTTTTTCCTTTTTTTTCGTAAATCCGTTTATTCAAAACTTTTTATCTCTCAAACCGTACGTCCAAATCTCAAACCGTTTTCATCAATGGATTCCTTGCGTCGAGATCTTCAAAACTAGATCCAATGTTAATAGATTTTGACGATTTTTTTCACGAAAAAACGGCCGGAAAAACTGTACCGAGAACACGGGTTTTTTCCCTTTCCAAAAAAGGCACGTCCGTGCCTCTCACGAAATCACAACCGTGCCTCTCACGGAAGTAAAATCGTGACTCTCATGGAAAAAAAGAAGAAGAGAAAACGCGTTTTTTTCCGTTTCCGAGGAGGCACGGCCGTGACTTTCGCGAAAGCACACCCGTGCCTATCGCGGAAGCAAAACCGTGACTCTCCCGAAAGAAAAAAAATAGAAAATGCGTTTTTTTCCGTTTTCGAGAGGCATGACCGTGACTCTCGCGAAAGCACAACCATACTTCTTACGGAAGCAAAATCGTGACTCTCGCAAAAGGAAAAAAAACAGAAAACACGTTTTTTTTTTCCGTTTCCGAGAGGCACGGCCGTGACTCTCGCGAAAGCACACCCGTGCCTCTCGCGAAAGCAAAATCGTGACTCTCGCGAAAGAAAAAAAACAAAAAATATGCCTTTTTTCGTTTCCCGAAAGGCACGGCCGTGACTCTTGCGAAAGCAAAACCGTGCCTCTAGTGTAAGGAAAACCGTGACTCTCGCGAAAGGGGAAAAATGCGTTTTTTCGTGCAAAAATTATTTTTTTTGAATTTTTTTTGTCGAAAAGATAAGAAAGACCGGTGAAAAACCAAAGCGTCGAAAAAGCCTGGAAAAAACCGTTTAAATAGCCGAAAACGCGTGCGAAAAAATAAAAAACAAAATCCGGAAGGAACGCCCAGAGCGTGACACGTGGCGAATGGCTAAGAGCGCGCCAAGAGACGCTGATCGTTGCAAGGGTTTTGAAGGAGTGCTCGTTAATTAGTGGCTCCCACATATGTGCTAGTATTTCGAAGAAAATATATATTTGGGAACAAACGGAGTAGACGGCAAGGTCCAATGTTGGGCATTTTTGTTTTTTGAGAAGACAATGTTGGGCCATTCCAGCATCCGATAGACCGATGGGGCCTTGGGCCTCGTTGGATAGCGGAGAAGTGAGGAGATTGGTGGGGCCAGAGCACACACCGGCCTCAAGCGAATTTAGCGGCTGAAGACTTGGAGAAGAGGCAGAGCAGCTCCACCCCCTCCCTCCTCTCCCCGCCGCGCCGATCGATCCTCCTCCGCCTGACGTCACGCCTTCGCCCCCTCCCTTCCAGAAGCTTCCACGCGCCATTGCGCCCCACCCCCCACCCCCCACCCCTCCAGAAGGTACGCACCCTCCGTTCCGCACATCGCAACGAACGCTCGTGGTCGTGGAATCTAGAGAATCCGAGCACACTTTTGTTAGATTTCGTAGGTTTCAGCGCCTCATGGGAATGGGTTCCTTGTGCATCGCATCGCATCGCATTGCATCGCATTGTTACGCCGTATACAGCATTATTATCACCTCGCGTTGAAGACATACAATACTACAAATATTAGTGTATCCCTTTTCAGTTCTGCCCCAAACTAGCGGAGTACATCCGTGCAGTTGCGCGGCCAGATTCTACTAGGTTTTAATTTCTTACTCTATCAGATGGTACTTTTGATGACTGCAGAATTAGTTGTATTTCTTGCTCTACGTCACAGCTCTCATATATATGTTGTTTGGAAACCAATCAGGAGATTTGATTGCTTACTGATTAGCAGAAGGAAAAAGGAGCATACACAATTTTTTACACCTAATTTTGATGCATGCTTTGTATGCTACTATGCAAGTGCGCATACCAGCGCTTTTAGAGAACATGCAAAAGCTTTGCATTTCAGGTGGCCATCTTTATGAATGATCTTACTTTACCAGACTGCTTAAATGCTTCATACTTTGCCAGTTGATATTCCATTTGTTATTGGATTGGTTATACAATGGACCTGAACAGATAAATAAGGCTAACAATCTAACATGCAATTAGCTCCTTGTATGCAAAGAATCTGCATTATATACAATCCGTACTGGATTTTCAGTTTTTGTTTACAGCCTGAAATTATATTTTTCAGGGTTCTCTCTTCAAGGCATCTTTAATCTGTAGCCTTCCTCCCATAAGCTAGTATATAGCTGTCAGGTCGCCCTTGAACAAGTATGAATCCTTATTTTGTTGGCCTTCTTGTGCCCATTGCGGTCTCTCTTCTGCTCCAGAAAAGGAGAAAGGTTGAAAATAAGAGGGGTGTGCCAGTTGATGTTGGTGGAGAGCCTGGCTATGCGATCCGCAACCATCGGTTTGAACGCCCTGTTGAAACACACTGGGAAGGGGTCAACACACTTGCTGAGCTGTTTGAGCACGCTTGCAAAGAGTATCTCTACATGCCCCTCCTTGGCACAAGGAAGCTCATTTCAAGGGAAATAGAATCATCACCTGATGGGAGGTCCTTTGAGAAGCTTCATCTGGGGGAGTACGAGTGGAAATGTTACGCTGAGGCCTTCGAGAGTGTTTGCAACTTTTCTTCAGGATTGGTCAATTTAGGTCGCCAGGACAATGAGCGTGTTGCTATTTTTGCCGAGACACAGGCTGAGTGGCAGATTGCACTGCAGGTAATCCCTTTTCTTTTTCCTTCAAGCAATAGATAGATCAATCCATGCATTTTGGTCTCTTCATGCGGTACTACATGAGGTTCTTACTTTTGGTTACGTAAATTGTGGTCACTGGTCCACTTTATATCGTGAACACATCTGTGTGCAAAAAAATCATAAATTAGTCAGGGTTCCTGCATAGCAAAGTGAATTATACACGGACTGCGAATCCAAAATGAATTCTCGAGGCATCTTTTCCTCTCTAGCTACGCAGTGAGTCCAAGTGCTGCTCACTGCCAAAATTTCTCTATAAGCAGTATCAACTACAAAAAGGATATCCTGTCACCATATGTTCTTTGCTTTTGCATTCTCATGTAAAGTGAGGACCGAAATTTCATAGATATCAATGGCTGGCCCAATGTTTCATTATTATTATGCATGGATAGAAATTTCATATTTATCAATGGCTAGCCCAATGTTTCATTATTATGATGCATGACCGGATGATAATGGTAGTTGTGGTGGCAGATTTCATGTGATGCATGAGACTTGGGATACAGGTCGTACCTCTTTTATTTAAAAGAGAGAGTATATACACCAAATGATAATAAATATATTCATAGTACTATCTCTGTTTCACTATAACTGTTCCCAAGCCAGCATGCGCACAGACCAACGAAATTTTAATTTTGAGAAAATAATAATGAGAAATGTCCATGCTCAACCCTTTTAAATGATATTCTAGGACATTAACCTCTCCAGTAATACAAGTAGGCATAGAGAGTTTTTTTATATGTGCTTTTAAGTTATTGGTTGGATTGTGTTACTTAACTTCTATACCAATTCGAAGTTGGTTCGTCTGCACAAACATTCATTCTGGTAGCTATTCATTGTATGTTGAACTCTGGTCATTGTACTCAATTTCGAAGTTACTATTTTTGTATTTGCAAGGCATGCTTCAGACAAAACATAACAGTTGTCACCATCTATTCCTCATTGGGGGAGGAAGCACTATGCCACTCACTAAATGAGGTTAGTACTGTCACTTTGTGTTCAGTATGTTGTACAATTACTCCTAGTTAAGTTTTTCTTCATTCATGTTGTCTGCTTATATAGACAGCAATTATAGAGTATAGACCTCTTGTAGCATTTTCGTTGTAGATATGCAACAAATACTTTTCAGCAATTGCTAGCACACTCCCAAGATTATTGCTGCATGTAATTAACTCTTTGTTTGATTTACATTTATTTATTTCCCCTCTTTTGCTCTACAGACTGAGGTCACTACTGTAATATGTGGCCGGAAGGAATTAAAGAAGTTGATTGATATAGGTTGGCAACTTGACACTGTCAAGCGTGTGATCTACATCAATGAGGAAGGCATCTCGGCTGAAGTTTCTATAGCTCAAAACAGCACTAGCTGGTCAGTTAAGTCATTTGAGGAAGTAGGTAAATTGGGAGCTGAAGCACCTGTTGATGCAAACATGCCTCTCCCATCTGATGTTGCGGTGATAATGTACACAAGTGGTAGCACTGGATTGCCCAAGGTTCGACATTATTCTGCAAATATGTTTTTCTCTGCATGACTCAAAAGGCCCTTTCTATTCTTGTTTAACCATATCTTCAGCTATGAACTACTCCCTTCGTTCACAAATACTCCCTCTGTCCCAAAATAAGTGTCTCAACTTTGTACTAACTTAGTACAAAGTTGTACTAAGCTTGAGACACTTATTTTGGGACGGAGGGAGTATAAGATATTCACTTATTTCTGATTCGGATGTATATAGCCGCATCTTAGTGTGTTTGTTTACTCATTTCAGTCCATATGTAGTCCATATTGAAATATCTAGAACATCTTATATTTGTGAACGGAGGGAGTAATATATACCTCATATGGTGTTGCAGGGAGTTATGATGACCCACCGCAATGTCCTAGCTACACTTTCAGCAGTTATGACCATTGTGCCTGAACTTGGCAAAAAGGATATATACATGGCCTACCTCCCACTGGCGCACATTCTTGAGTTGGCAGCTGAGGTAACTGTTGGATATCATTTCAATATATTAATATTTTTGTTCATTATTTAATTCTCTGTCTGCAAATATTATGATTTATAGACACTTATGGCTGCTGTTGGGGCCTCCATTGGATATGGATCAGCTTTGACCCTGACTGATACATCAAGCAAAATAAAGAAGGGGACCCTAGGCGATGCTTCTGCACTGAGGCCGACACTGATGACTGCTGTACCTGCTATACTTGATCGTGTCCGTGATGGTGTGAGAAAAAAGGTATTTCCCACTACGCTATCTGGATCTTGTACTCTCATTTGTTTTACTGACTACTAGCCTTTACACCGAGATGGTTTTAGGTGGATGCAAAGGGTGGTGTAGCGAAGAAATTATTTGACATTGGATATAGCCGCCGACTTGCTGCTATCAATGGAAGTTGGCTTGGTGCATGGGGAGTAGAGAAACTGTTGTGGGACAGGCTTGTCTTCACGAAGGTGCGTGCAATATTGGGAGGAAATATTCGCTTTGTACTCTCAGGTGGAGCACCTCTGTCCGGAGACACTCAGAGATTTATCAATATATGCCTTGGGTAAGATTATGTAACCATCATTCATGCTGTTACTGGAAACTTTCCAACTACCCTAGTTACAATGACAATACTGTATGTTTGTTTGTTTCAGCATGTTTAAGTCCCGTATTTTGATAGGCTTATTCAATTTCAGGGCTCCAATAGGCCAAGGGTATGGTCTGACTGAAACTTGTGCTGGAGGAACGTTTTCTGAGTATGATGATACATCTGTTGGCCGTGTTGGTGCTCCACTACCTTGTTCATATATTAAGGTTAGATAACAATTTTGCTCATTTTTTCAGCATTTGAGGTGGACCCATTTTTGACATCAAAGCTGTTCTTCCCACTCCTACAACTTACTCCCTCTGCTCCTAAATATAAGTCTTTTTAGAGATTCCAACATGGACTACATACGGAGCAAAATGAGTGAATCAACACTCTAAAGTATGTCTATATACATCCGTATGTAGTTTGTATTTAAATCTCTAAAAAGACTTATATTTAGGAACGGAGGAAGTATATGGTTACTATTTCCAAATTTTGACATCTGACAAGGCCAGTGTATCCAAATTTTGATATCTGACAAGGCCAATGTATCCAAATTTTGATATCTGGCAAGGCCAATGTATCCAAATTTTGATATCTGACAAGGCCAATGTATCCAAATTTTGATACTGACAAGTCCAATATATTGAAGATATTTCTTAACGAGAGGAATTAAGTTGTTAATTTTCTTCTTTGTGATACAATAGTTTATGCTTTGGCATTTCTTCCTTGACCTGTTACTTAATGGGATATCTGACCTATTACCTCACAATTCTTGACACAATGTCAACTGTACCTTCCAGTTGATTGACTGGGCTGAAGGGGGATACTTAACAACGGATTCACCAATGCCTCGGGGGGAGATAGTCATCGGAGGTCCCAATGTAACTAAAGGCTATTTCAAGAATGAAGCTAAAACAAGTGAAGTCTATAAGGTATGTTGTCAACTTGTTACTGATCTGTTCACACACCAAATCATACATCATCACTAATGAGTAACGACTTCTCTTTCACAATAATAATTGATCTAACACACGCCTCATATATCTTGTGTAGGATGATGAAAGAGGTCTACGATGGTTCTATTCTGGAGACATAGGGCGTTTCCATCCAGATGGCTGCCTTGAAATCATTGACCGCAAGAAAGATATCGTGAAGCTTCAACATGGTGAATACGTATCTCTTGGGAAGGTAAGAAATATTCTTGCTCTGGTGAGATAAGTTTCTGGTAGCACTTATATTAACTGATTGGATGACACAGGTGGAAGCTGCGTTGGCTATGAGCCCATATGTTGAGAACATCATGATCCATGCCGATCCTTTTCACAGTTACTGTGTTGCACTTGTGGTAGCAGCACAGAATGAGCTTGAAAGATGGGCATTGCAGCAAGGACTTGCATACACCGATTTTGCTGATTTGTGCCAGAAGCAAGAGGCTGTTGTAGAAGTGCTTGAATCTTTAACAAAGGTTTGTTTCTGTGTTGACCTTAGTTAGCTTTTGGGTTTCCATTACACATAGATCATACTTGACTCAGTACTTCTCCCAGTGTATTTAAATGCAAACTAGCAAACATACATATTTACCATCCATGACATACCTTAGCATTGTTTCTAAGTTCATCTTATTAGTCTTTGAAAGAAAAGAAGAGAAACAAGAGTATATATATTTTGAGGATATAGTACATGACTTTATATGTAATTTGCTTTGTTACAGTTTCTTCCCAATAAAGCCATCATACATCATCGAGCATGTCTTTCAGAAGCACTTAGATCTTTACTATTGTAAAGAGTAGTGAAGGCATTTGTGGTTGCAACTTCCCTATAAACATTGACCATACATGCACACACCCTTCCATCAAAGATAATTGCATCCTCTAGTCCAAGAGCAAGTTGAGAGTTGCAGTCAGGCAAATCCTGCATCCTGTTGGGACAACACTTTCCAGTACTGACATCCATTTTCTGTACTCCAGGCTGCGAAGCAAGCACGACTGGAGAAGTTCGAGACACCAGCCAAAGTCAAGCTGATACCAGATCCATGGACCCCTGAGTCGGGCCTCGTCACGGCTGCGCTCAAACTCAAGAGGGAGGTGATCAGGAAGACATATGAAGACGATCTGGCGCAGTTGTACGCCTGATGGTTCTCTTCTGACTGATACCCTGAGATGACATAGGACAAGGCTCTTATGTCAAAACATACTATATTGATATATTTTGATGTCGGGGTAGATTGGATCATTGAGGGAGTCCTGGAATTTTGGAGTGTCTTGTCTTACTCTTAGAAGCAATTTTGTGTTTGCGGAGTTGTACACTTACTACCAATGAATCTATCATAATTGCACCGAATTTTGATGGCATTGTAATCTCTGATCGAAAGATTGCTGTTATCATCTTCTAGATCCGGAATCTTTTCTATCTCTTCTACTTATAAAGATTCGAGTTGGCAGTTCACTCTGTTCTTCCTGTCTGTCTATTCTTGAAGTACCTTGTTCTTTTTGTCTTAGAACTCTTGTATTTTAGGAGTAGTGATGCCGAGGAAAAAGAACTGAAGTTATTATGTTTGCAGCGACTAGGCGTTAACTACACATTACAAACCCAAGGTGAGATATCATACCCCTGTGATCAACTCTTTGATCACTATTGATTGTCCTTGTTACTGGTTTTGTCCTCTACATTTGTATCCGTATTTCGGTATCAATGTGATCTCAATCACATGTATCTGACAAACGATAATTATAACGTCTCAAATTTTCAATTTGGAATGTTATACATAGATCATCACTTGCATATCATATTTTGTTTGCATTTTGGTTTTGATCCAAGAAATTCTAAGCAACTTAAGGACCCATGGAGAGAGTTGGGGATTTCATTTATTTTCATATTTGAATTTTTTCTCAAATATTGAAAAGCGGATCAATTTGGTTTTAATTATTTTTCTCTCCAAATAATATTCCCAAAATAAAAATAAATAAGAGGAGATAATATGACTTCTCCAAAATAAAATAAATATTGGAGGAAAAATGTTAAAATCAAATAAATAATTTTATTTGGATTTTATTGCTATTTTATTTGAATTAGAAAAATATGCGTTTTTCAAAATTGCATTTTTAGGCCAAGAAAATGTTCACCATGTTCTAGATATTTTATTTAGATGGTGAAAATTGTTTTGGCATTTTTATAATTTTATTTTTATTTATTTAGGATTTTTTCGTTTTGGCGGAATTTATTTAAGAAAAAAAAAATCTTCGGATCGGCTGGGCCGAAGCCCAGCCGGCCCAGTGCCTGCGCCGCCGCCGTCTCCCTCGCGGAGACCGAGCCGCCGCCCCCGCCCGAGTCTGGCCGGGGCACGACTCCCGGTCCGACCCGGCGCCCCCTTCCCCAAGTCGCCGCGCCACCCCCTCTTAAATACCACCCATCCCGCCGCCTCTCCTCG